CGCGGGGGATGAAGCGCGATCGGCGCCGGATTCCAGCGGAAATTCACAAAAATCGATACTCGGCAGAAAAATATCGCCCCGTTCGGTTACGCATTCGGAACTCTCGTTTCCGCCGGCGCGCGCGGCGTTCATCCGCGAGAGTTTGCCGAATCATAAATAACGCTGTAACTAACGTTATTATTATTTAGTCCCGTATACACGCAACAGTCGGTTTTTCGACTCGGCCTCCGCGGCAATGCGCTCTCGTCCTTTCATAAGCCGTAAATAACGCGAACGGTAACCATCGAGAGTGCTACTTCGCTCAACTTTTACGCTTCGACGCGCCTGCAAATGCTATTCGCGTTAACGCGCCTACACGAAGTACGTTCGAAGAGCGAACAGAGACACGAATGTGCGAGAACCAGTTTCTGAATTTCCGTATCTATTCCCGCCTTGCGCCACCGCGTAGTCCCGTTATTTTTCCTCTCCTTACATATGTGATAAAAGAATGACTGTGTTCGCGCATCCTCGAACTAAAGGATCGGACGATGCTGTTCGCGGAGAAATTTGAAAACTGAGACTTTCTATATCGCACTGCAATATCTGTGCATAGGCCAATTAGTAATATCGATTGATTTTATATCCACAGAGCCGCTTAGTCAATTATTTATTCCACTTCCCGAAGCTCGACATTTGCATTTTTCGAATAGCTTCTCTCCAAAGATAAAAAAGAGAAGGTAGGGTGGTGAGAAGCGCGGTGCGCTATCGTGCAGATTCTGATGGAAACGCGCGCGCGAACTACCGTAGAACCTCGGGAAAATATTGTTTCGATACCGTTGCGCTTTTTGTCAGACCTGCAACATTCACCTGTTGTTTCGCCCTCCTTCTTTTCAATTCTCGTTAACGCGCCCATCAATATATTCATGTTCGCGATGGTTTGCAAACGTTCGCGTTTGCTCTCCGCGAACATGCCGAAGGAAAGTAGAGATATCTTAAATTATTATCATCACGTTTCTCTTTCTCTCTCTTTGACGACGCCGCTCATTGCAAATTTACGCGTATCGGAAACGGTTTACCTTAACTTTCGCGCGGGTCGATTTCACAGTCCGAGATGCTGCAAATGACAAAAGCGGCGACGTCGATGCTTTGCGCAGCTGCCGGTGTCGATATCACGTCACAACTGTGCACGACAAAAATTACAGCGCGCGCTCGCTCGCGCCCAGTCATACGTACTCGGCTCATTTTTCATCGAAACTTTGCACAAGTGCGCGCATTATGTGTACATTTTGCACATTGTATTTAACGGCACACCATCCTTGGTAACAATGCAGAAATTTATCGTTATGAATTCTTGCTCGTAATTTGTGCCTTAATTGGCGCGACCGTTGCGTAAGCAGCGGCCAAGAATTCCCAGCGCCGACCTCGAAGGAAGCGAGAATTCTCGCGATGCCCCGGTCATTATAGAGTCCGGATGCTTATCGACTCGCGAGCGGGAGAGAGACGGTCAGCGAATTGTATGCGAATTAATCGTCACAATCGACATTCCTCGCGCGCGCATCTCGCGATTTCACCGATGTACATGGCAGTACGGTGGCCCGGTCACGTGCCGGATTTAAGAGTCGTTCCTCTTGAAAACACCTCGTATATTCTCGCCGCCGAAGAAAACGACCCTCGCGCACGCTAGGAAAATTCAACGTGGGACGAATGGTAGATTATTTCGATATGACACGGCGATTATTTATCGGCACAATTCTAATGGCCATTATCATTCGTAATTCACCGTTCACGTGTGATAATAATAAGTCATCGGCGGAATTGTAGCCGCCAATAATAATCTAATCGCACTAATGCGGCAGCGGCCGGTCTGCGGATCGATTTACGCGAATTTGCGATATGGCCGATAAGTCCTGTCGCGCACGACCAGTCATAATCGTTTTATGATAGGAATCTTTATCGACGTCACGCCGGCTTAATCGAATTAATCTAAACGAACGGGCCATATGCAGAGCGACGACTGTGACGACGACGATGACGTCGATGATATCGATGAGAAACGAATTTCCACGAATGACAGAATGTTTTTCCTCGTAACCAAGGAAACGCAGAATTTGAGAGCCTTTAGAAATCGAAGCACGGATGTTTTTTATAATACCATTAAATATTAATATTATAATTAATATTAGGGAAGTTGTAAAGCGGAATGTGAGTTTGGTAAGAATTTAACGAAACTTGCCCCCACATACGTATTGAAATATTATCTAATTGTACAACTAGAAAAAGAATAGAGCAGAGAAAGATTGATGGCGATCGATGAAAATTTCGCGAGTTTGCTTGTCGCGCCTTATCCATCTCTCGTAGGTTCCGGAGAGACGGATCGATCGAACGGCGCCTTTCGCAGCCAGCCAAACCGTAAACCAGGCATCAGTCAAGCCCGGCCGCGAGAACCTCAGAACGCCGCGGACCGCCGCGCGTTGCTTTGTGCGCCCAAGGAAACGTCGCCTGTTAACGGCGTTGCCACTCCAAAATTGCGGCAAAGGCGACGCCGGCTGGGTGCAGCGCGCGAGGTCGGCTCGGGGGCGCGCGGATGCATTAAACCGGGCGAACTTGCGACAGTCGTGACAAATGGCCGAGTGCCGGCTATTCGCGGCTGCATACTAACGTCATAATGGAACGCGCGGCCGCCACCAAAAACCGCCTACCACATAATTACGGTTCTTTGTAATATCTCGGTGGCCCATATGACGACGACGACGTCGTTGTTACGCAGGTATCTCTCCGGTAATTCAAGGTTCTCGCGGACGCGCTGCAAAGTCACACCACGGTCGCCGGGAACGTCGCCGTTGCGTCTCGTTTTCTTGCACGATTACCGTCGCACGCGCGCTCTTGTCACAGGTGAAAACGGCAAAGCGGCCGGGACGTTTCTCCGCGACGCGGCACACGACAAGAGTCCGTCCGTTCGCGAGACCCTCGCCTGGGACGGTCACGTGGTTGGGGGGAGGGGGGGTGTCGACGGAACGGATGCGCGGGAGCTCCTTTTGCCGCTGGTTCGGAGTCGTCGTATGTTGTGCCGCGTTTGCTGGCGTCAGCGTTTTTCCTCCGGGCGGTAACGACGACGAATGACGCAGCGCTTAAGCGACGAAAGAGCATGCGGTTTCCATCCCGAAAACGGCGACGTCGCTCTACACCCGGAGCGGCGTCGGCGGGTTTCATTTACTCTGGCTCATTTCTCGTGACCCGCTTGCATCCGCGATGATGGCCGTGAGTTTATCGCTCCCCGCTCTTCCAAGATATACACTTATATATAAAGGAACGTAATACGCCGTAATGCCGTCGTTGCGCCGTCGTGATATTAACGAAAGACTCGTTGTTTATCGGGATCCCTCGAATTCTCCATTCCGTTCCGCGCTAATTAGAGAGGTGCGCTTAATAACCGGAGTCGAAATTTCAGATCTGCTTTCGACTCTAACACCCGTAGGTTCTGATCTCTCGTTCTTCAATGTAAGTTTATGTAATTTATATGGAAACTTTAATCCTACTTAGCGCCTTTAAATGGCGGAAAACGCACAAAATGTCACTTGTTCTAAAGAGGGCATCAGTATGAAATCTCGTAAAACTCACCGGGTTCTCTAAACTTACCCCCCCCTCTCTCTCTCTTTTTATTAAAATGATATATTCATTATTGGTTATTCAAGGAGATAATTTTATATTTAATAGCAACACTTTCTTATATAAATGTCACGTATAAAATAATATTGAATCAATTTTTATTCACAATATTGTTGCTCACGTGATTATTAATAATGAAAAATATGTAGGTATTCCTGTAAGCCAACAAGAACTTGAATAATGATGTTAAGTTAACATCAATAGAAATTCTTTTTACGATCCGTGATAATAACAAGGTCTTTAATAATTATATATAACTTATAACATATTAAAATTTCTATGTTTATTATTTTGATTAATATTTGGCTTAGTTATATTACAAAAAGTAAAGCAGAATGTAGAACTATATATAACTAATTGAATTTATAGACTTTTATTAAAAGTTGTAGGTTAAATAGAATCAAAAGAGATCGCTAGACTTCAGAATATCAAAGTAGGCGTTATGGTGAGTTTTCAGGTCGAAAATAGGATCAAAATTTCAAGTTGACATTTTAAATTCTATATTAAGTCTTCTCCGCTCTTCGAGTGGAGAAAAAAAACTGCAACAACCTTCCCCATTTGTAGCACCAAAGGAGCACGATCGGAAGACTTTTGAACACTTGATGTAGAACCAAGTTGGACTTTTAAACCGGTGTTAAAAATTTCGGCACGGGAACGGACGAAAATCTCGAACGCCAATGAAATATCACGAATTATCGAGATATAAATACCTGAATAAGTAAACGAATAAATAACCCGATAAATAAATCGAGCGGCTCGGTCGATTTATTTCAGAGTGACTTATTTTGAACTCGGCAGAAGGCCGCGCGGGAACGCCGACTGGTCAGCGTGAGTGATTCGAGCTATTCGGATTGCCACATCGGGACTGTACCATTAGAGTCAATCAAGGGAGCCATCAATCGGAAGAAATGTATATCTGTCCACCTCCTGCGCCAGTCGTGCTCTGCCGCGCACGTTTAACAATCGGCAACGAGATACAATGGAGCGAGAGGACGCGGCGCCTCGGGTCAAACGATTGCGCCATCCCTGTTCGTCATCATTACGGACGATGATCCATCGACGCTCTCGTGCCTGCCCGTCATCACGCTGCCGTCGCCGACGTCCGCCCTCGTGGTTGCAGCGACGCCGAATGACGCGCGGCGTCGGTGCGCGCTCACAGGCTCGGCGGACGGGGAGGAGAGGGGTCGAAGTGTGGCAACCCGGTGAGGGTGGTAGAGGCGTCGGTGGCGCCTCTGCGCTCCGGCGGGGCAGCACCGCGGCGTAGGTGGCGGTGGTGGTGGAGGTGGCGGCGGCGGAGGCGGCAAAGCAGGGGCGGACAGGCGCGAGGCGCCGTACCCGCGTCACCTCAGTCGACGTCAAGCCGTCGCGACGACGCGTGCGTATTCTCCCGTAACCGTCGGTGGTGCCACGGAGCCTCGCGGTCGAGACTCGCGTGTACCGCACGCGGCGTGACTTGTCGAGCGTGTGCCCACCTGTTCGCGTCGGCGATCGTGGCGGGTGGTCTCCTCCCTCCCCCCCCCTCTCCGTGAATGCGTTCACGCAATTAGTGCTCCGCTCCCTCCACCACGACCTCCGTCGTCCCGTCTTCGTCGGCAGCGGGCGCGAGCAGAGTTGACAGTGCCATCGGTCTGAGATCGCGCGCGCGGACAGCAGTCCTGGTGTGATTTCGCGAGAGGATAATTCGCGTGTATCGTGGAAGTGGAGTCTCGTGCGGGAGAACGCGTCCGAGTGCGAAAGGATCGGCGAAGGGTACGGACGGAGGAGGGGACGGTCGTTATTGACGTTGCTGCTCTCGGAGTGCGGTATCGGTTTCTGATCGAGATCACGGATCCCTGCGGAGGAACCGCGGCACTCCGCGGTGCAGGACGAGGGGTGTTTCTCGGTGCGATCGTGTTGACCGCCGACGGGCGAAAGGATGATTAAAGGATCGCCGGGACATACCTATTGACTCGTATCGGCCTGTTTGCGCGCTGATCAGCCCGCCGTGGAGGACACGACGGCGCTCCTCCGATAATCCCGACCGGTAATCGAGCAACGTCGATTGATCCGCGGGGGAATCATCGTGGAGGCTCCGGGATAACTGGGATTCCCCGTCCGTACGTGATCTCGTCACGATGATTCGTAACGCGCCCATGTGCCGTTGATAGGTCGACCGGTGTCTGTGCGTGTGTGTGTGTGAGAGGACGGTACTTCTTGGGGAGCGACTCCGCGAAGAAGGCGCCGACACACCGTCGTCGACCAGGGCTCGTTGATTACCAGTGCAAATCGGCCCTTTAAATGATGACTGTCGGGTAGGTAGAGACCACTTGCGAGGCCCTATCACGCGCGCATATCGCTTTTGCGGGGTCACGGTTGAACGTGTGTTGAAGTCGTCCGATAGGCCGACAGACTCCGCGCGAGGGCTGCCGGACAGCTGTTTGCTGACGCACCACGCCGGAAGTGCGCGCGAGTTTTCCAGTTATTCCGCGTGTACGCGTGCCCTCACCGTTCTGCGCACCGTTCTGTTAATGACGCGCCGGCTTTTACGTCACGCATTCCCTGCAGCCGCTCGCGTGTCGCGTCACACGTGACATTTAACAGCGTTTAACTCACTATGGCCTAATGTGACTTCAAAGTGGCGTGCTGCCTCGTGCCTCCGTCCGGCGTGCGCGCGTAAATTTACACATTTCTAATTTCGCGACGCGCTGCGAGAACCCCCGCGACCCGTTTTCCGGAAACGACCCTCGGAACAGGAGAGAGAGAAAGAAAGAGAGAGACCGGAACGTCATCGGGTATTGCTTGGTATTGCCCTTCCGGTCTCGATATTGGAGAGAGCGGCCTCCTCTCTTTTTCGCGAGCGAACTATTACCGTTCCGTCTCGCAGCCGATCCAGTCGTCGCCAAACTCGACTCGTCCCTCGCGATACGTCGGCGCCTCGTCGCGCTCCGAGCCTCGCCTGCTGGAAAATCACGAGAGCCGCGTGGCGCCGGCGTTTCGCGTCGGGGGAAAGTCTGTACGTACGCACGCGGTGAACGAGGAAGTGCATAGGTTCTCTCTCTCTCTCTCTCTCCCTCTCTCTCTCGCCAATGGGGAAATCGTCGGTCATTGGCGGAACGAGGGTCTCCTTAAGCAACGCTTCAACGTACGCATCAGCACGCGCGCGCTCGTGTCCCCCTTCCCCGCGAAACGTGCTCGGTCTTAGCCGGGAATATCGGCTTCAATCGAGCGATTATCTGGCGAGTCGTTCTCTTATCGATTATTAGCATACGGCGTCCTTGAGCCCGCGAAGCGTGTGGCAGCGTTCGGCTCTGTGTGTCGTCGCTTCTGCCCACCGCGTCCCGGAACGGTCGTTACACGTTCGCAACGGCTCCGTCCTGTCGGTGCCACTTGTACGTTCTTTTGTTCTTTTACATAATATCTATCAATAGCGGATGTCTCTCCAGTAATTGTTCGTTCGCACAGACGTCGCCGCAGCTCGGCATTTTCGCTTGATACCGAGCGACGAGAGGGACCCGTTTCTCTCTCTCTCTCTCTCTCTCTCTCTCGCACTCGTACTCACTTCGGATATACTCTGGCTGTGTGTCACTCCAAGTGGTATCGATTGCGTCGTTGGATCGTTCGCCTCGTTATACGCTACATTAGACTTGGTCACGCGCGTTACACGTTAACAACGTTAGGATTATGAATGCGTCGCATTCATGAATCGAGCACGCGAGCATCGCGGCTGGCGCGCGCGCGTCTATGATCCGTTTGTTGCGAAACCGGCGCAATTTACATATCGGTAATCTAGCGCGGCCGCGCGTTTTCCATGGATATTAGATCCGAGCTTGCTGTAGTTTGATCGACACACTCCGGCCCGCGCTCCGCAATTGTGTCCCCGTGCAAAGACCAGCGGGATCCGGCGCAGGGCCTCCGTTTTAATTTCGGCCGAAACCGACGTTTGTGAGAACGGCAGTTTCAACAAACTGAATATATTTCGTGTGTTTCGGCCCGGTGTTCTCGCTCGTTTCCGCGCATTTAGCTCGCAGCGCTCGGGTGAAATAAGCGTGACGCTCGCGTAACGCGGCGCAATACGCCGATGAAACGCGATGATTGTTCGCGTTTTCGAGTTTAATTATTATTACAGCGGATTACGTTATAAAACACGGATTTTACGGCGCGCGCCGCACCACTCTCGATTTCCTCGCGGAAATCGCCCGGCCAATCCCGAGTCGAAATTTTTACATTAAGGCCCGTGTTCTGAACTCTCTTTTGTTGAAAATGGATTAGAAACCATCATCTGATTGGCGGAGCAGCCACATTTAAAGCGCTTTTATTGATAAAAAGAGAGAGTTCCGAATACGAACTTAAGTCTTCAGGTGGAGAAAATGGAAATAACTTGTTATTTGTAGCGTCAAAGGAGCACAACAGACGATCTTTGGAAACTCGATGTAGAATTAAAATTTGCACACGTGGTTGCCCTTGGTATACCGCAGCTTTCAATCGCTGACGCTGTCTGAACATGCCGAATTGCGAGAGAGATGACTGTTCGATTGCTTACATAAGCTTAGCTGAAGCTATCGGCGCGTGTTCCGACATCTTTTTCACAAGAAGAGCAAATTGACCACGTGCGACCAAAGGGCGAGTCTGCGGCGATCTTTACGTACATTGAAGAAACAAGAATTAGCCTGAAATTAATGACGGATGTTCTCATATGTATAAGCAAAAATATTATAATCTTAAGGGATTTTCAGTCCCGACTCGAGTATTATTCGTAAGTATAACTCGTACTTAATTAAAAGCAAGAAATCCTCTACGAATATTATAACATTCTTGCCTATATATGTAAGAATATCTATCATTGATTTAAGATTACTTTTTCTCTGCATAATCGGCTGCATAATCCATGGAACTTTTATGAACAATATCGGATAGGGAACAGCGTAGACAGTAGAGAACGGACTCGGTACAACTTAACGTCCACGAGCTCCCGACGGGTCGTCACACGTA